CACACAATAGATACAGACTTAAGGTAAACTTAAGGTAAACTCGATTGCAGAAAATATGACTTCAGCAACAGAGTGGTCAATGCCTGGAATGGGCTACCTGACTCTGTGGTTTCATCCCAAAACCCCCAAACTTTTAACCTAAGACTGTCTACTGTTGACCTCACCCCATTCCTAAGAGGTCTATAAGGGGTGTGCATAAGAGCACCAGCATGCCTACCGTCCCTATCCTAATGTTTCTTCTATTTGTATCTATTTTATGTATCCAATCCATGCTTATACTTATTACCAAATACGTTCTTGACAAATAAAATAAACAAACAAACAAACAGAAATTTTAGGGTCAGTTGTGGTTGTAAGTTGAGGACTTCCTGTATGCACAAATTGCTAGAAATCAGTGAGGTGGTTTCCCATCATTTTGAGGAAGGAAGAAGCACAAAGCATAGGAGCAAAGTAAAGGCATAGTACAGAGGCCCAGAGCCACAATTCTCGCCTTGCCTATGATGACTTGATCCTATCCCTGTCATCAACGTTAATGTGTGGACTTCTAAGATATGGAAGCTGGGTTGAACAGATGACCTCAGTCTCTGTACTGTATGAGTAAGCCACTCAGTGGGCAATGAGCGTTTGCAGACTCCGTACTGGTTGAACATAAAGACCACTCATAAGAAGGAGATGGGGTGGAGACCGGAAAAGAAGGAAGATGGCAGAAGTTAACAAAGAGGAATCTATACATCTGGGATCCCCAACTCTTGGTCCGTGGAGTGGCACCACTCTGAGGCATACCAGCAACCGGTCCACGCAAACAAGTGAAGCCCCATCTGCAGAACGCAGGCAGCATGCAAAACCACGCCCCCTCCGGTCTGTGCAAAAACCTTTCTCCATGGAACTGGTCCCTGGTGCCCAAAGATTTTGGGGGCCACTGCTATACAATATTACAAGTATAATTTGCTTGGTAACCATTTGAAGTTAACACAGCACTGAAAAAAGTGACATGACCATTTTTCATATTACAGCCATTTTTCATATTCAAATTACAGCATCCTCGTGGTCATGTGATCAAAATGTGGCCATTTGGCAGCCGGCATGTATTTACGACAGTTGTGGTATCCTGGCGCCACGCGATCACCATCTGTAACCTTCTGTAAGGTCCCAAAATATACTTGACATACCTGAATGCCAAAAAGAGAGACTCAAGACAAGGCTTGCAAAAAGAAGCAGATTTTATTTATGGTCAAAAACAAAATACTGGGTGGGACTATATCCAGAACATACAGATACAATGCACGTGAGGAGATAGCCACACCTTGGGGAAGATATGGCTTCCTTTTTACGCCATCAGAGACATCAGCTTAGTACCCAGTTCTGGCCTCTTAGTTTAGGTTTGTATATTCTTTGTTGTCCTGCAAAGGAATAGAAGCCTCCCAATTAGCGTTATCTCTTCCTTGAGCATTCCTTTGTTCTCCCAATTGCTCATTTGGCCCCCTGGTTCTGCAAGGAACGAGTTTATACAGATCAAAGGTGTAAATTAGGGCTGAAGTGTAAATTTTCCCTTGGATGACGTCTGCAGTTCCAACTGAGATACGTACCATGCTCTTAGATGGCACAAGAAAAACAAGAAGAAGATTGATATGGGTTCAGATCAAATGGCAGGAACATATGTTTGACAAATACCAGATACATTACAGAGGCCTAATAAAAGAATGTGTTTGTTACAGGAGATACAAATATAAAGGTATAATATATGTGATACAAATAAAAAGACATATTTGTGTTACAGATATAAAGGTACAATATATGTGTGTTATACAAATACAAAGGCTATATATGTATTACAGGAACCTGATGGTTACAGAATAACAAGTTTCTACTAATTCTAGTATACCAGTATATCATATTCTAGTATTATTTATTATATCCTTATTACTGTTTCCCTTCACTTCTCAGCTGGCTTCTGACAAGCAAAGTCAATAGGGGAAGCCAGATTTTCTGAATGACTGCATGATTTACATAACAACTGCAGTGATTCACTTAGCAACTGTGGCAAACAAGGTTGTAACATCGAGCAAAACTAGAGTTAGCAACTGCCTTTCTTAGCAATGGAAATTTTGGGCTCAATTTTGATCATAAATTGAGGAATAGGCTGTAGGCAGGGTTACTGGATAACCTTTATCACGCCTGTACAAATGAACTCCTCTACTCTTCTGTTGTCTAGTTTTGACATAATCATTGCCTAGGCCAGAGATCTTCAAACTTGGCAGCTTTAAGACTTGTGGACTTCAACTCCCAGAATTCAGCTATGCAGCTATGCTGGCTGGAGAATTCTGGGAGTTGAAGTCCACAAGTCTTAAAGCTGCCAAGTTTGAAGACTTCTGGCCTAGGCAGACGAGAGCTCCTTCCTTAAACTGAAAAGTCATTTTCAAGTGGAAAGAAAAGATGACAAAGACTACACAAGCTGCTTATAACCTACAGCTGAGGCTGGAAAGTCTACTGAGATTGCTCCCGAGATAGCAGGAGACCAAGCTTCCATCTGTTGCCATCAGAACAGTTCTCTTCCTGGATTAGGCATTTTATTTTGAAGATTGCTTTGGAGTTTTGATTTGCTTATTTTTATTTATTCATTTATTAAATGTAAATGCGGCCCATTTGCATTTAAGGTAAATAAGGTAACTCTCGGTGACTTAAAAACAGTAAAAAGCTAAATTTTAAAAACCCATCAAAATTATAAAACTAAGCCAAAAAAAGTAAGTAGATTGAACTGCTGAGGTTCCAGAGTCCGTTTCATTTTCAGATTGCTTAAAGGAACCAGGGAGAAAAAGCTGCCCGTTTTCCATGCCTTTGAACAGCTGGTGTTTGCTTTTTGTGATGTGCCAGTCATTTCTCCACCTGTGTCTACAAGGATTTCTGCTAGAGAGGCCTTTGTGTGTAAATCTCTGTGTGGTTCCCTTCCATGATTTCTACAGCTTTACACTTTTTTTTTTAAAACCAGCCTCACTCTTTCAAATTCAGACCTCAAATAATTAATGCTGCCATATCTAGACCAGGGGTGAAATCCAGCAGGTTCTGACAGGTTCTGAAGAACCAGTAGCGGAAATTCTGAGTAGTCTGGAGAACTGGCAAATACCACCTCTGGCTGGTCCCAGAGTGGGGTTGGAATGGAGATTTTGCAATATCCTTCCCCCAGATGTGGGGAGGGAATGGGAATTTTGCAGTATCCTTCCCCTGGAGTGGGGTGGGAATGGAGATTTTGCAGTATCCTTTCCCTGCCATGCCCACCAAGCCACGCCCACCAAGCCACACAATGTCCACCATGCCACACCTGCAAAACCGATAGTAAAAAATTTTGGACTTCACCACTGGACTAGACTCACAGATTCAAAAATATGTAGCATTGGAAGGAACCAATAGGATAATCTACTCCCATTTTCTGCAATATGCAGGAAAATTAATTAAATCATTCCTAGGACATGGTTGTCCAGCCTCTTCTTAAAATGCTCCACAGATGAAACGTTCACAGGAGCAACCTTTTTAGTAAGGAAGATGTTACACAACATTTTGCAACAGGTCCCATGTATATTTTATGGCATCCAACAATTCCATTCAGAATGGTGCTGCAGAACTGCCCTTACATCTCATATATATAGTGTGAAATATCACCCATGGATTTCCAACTTCACATGATTCAATACAATAAAATTGCTGGATCTGTGATAAAGTTAGTTAAAGTGGACCTTAACAAAATCTTGACATGGGGAAAATATCTCAAAACTTAGTTACCTTCTAATACAAGTAATTCAATTTGGAATTTCTAATTCAGTGTAAATATCCATCCATAATCTACCTAGGACACAGAATGCCTTCTTTTTCCAAATATTTTTTTTAAGTGAACTAGAAAAGAACTGTTCGGGTAGCTGTTCTGTGATTTTCTGAATTTATTTTTGCTGTGATCTTTCTCTGCTAATATTAGAGGAATTGTTTTTTCATTCCCTGGAAACTTTTTATTCCATTGGCTTTTGTATTATATTATTTCAATGTTATTATTCCTACTTATTGATTTGTATCTGGCAGAAGGGGATGTTGCAAAAATGCTGTTGAGTGTCTAAGGGTTTTAACCTGATATATTTTTGTCACATGTTATGCTGACTTTGGCATCTCTGTGGCAGAAATGCAATTTAGAAAACTTGTTTAGAAGGAAAGAAAGAGGAAGCAATCAGTTCCTTCCAGAAGAAACGTTCCATAAATAAGCATAAGGGAGGCCTATTTATGCCTATAAATAAGCATAAGAGGCAATGAACAATGTCCCAGTTTTAAACTTATTTCTTTAATTGGAAACCAGCAGAAAATATAAGCAGTCCTCGACTTACAACAGTTCATTTAGTGATTGTTCAAAGTTTCAACAGTACTGAAAAAAGTGACTGTGACTTATGACAGTTTTTCACACCTACAACCATTGCAGTGTCTCCATGATTACGTGATCAAAATTCTGATGTTTGACCACTGGTTCATATTTATGATGGTTGCAGTGTCCCGGAGTCATGTGATCACCTTTTGTGACCTTCTGACAAGCAAAGTCAATGGGGAAACCACATTCACTTAACAACCTTCTAACCAACTTAACAACTGCAATGATTCACTTAACAACTGTGGCAAAAAAGGTGGTAAAATGGGGCAAAACTCACATAAGAAATATCTCACTTAGCAACATAAATTTTGGGCTCAATTGTGGTCATAAATCAAGGACTACCGTAACCAGTAGTACTGGAATTCCAGACAGGGGATTACAAAGCAAACTGAATTGGGAGAGAGAAATTTGAGAGGGAAGAAGCGAGGTATCAACTTTTCAGGGGAATCTGTACTACTAAATCATGTAATCTTAGTGCCAAATAATGAACTCTGGAACACAATAAATCACAACTTCCTTAGAAAAAGGGAGAATCTAAAAAAAAAAATCTATCATAGTGTACACAGAATAATCACCAAAGAAACTCTGGCAGATTCAGCTCTCCACAGAATGTATTAATTTATTAAAATTAGTAAACCACCTTCACTTTAAAGGCAACATTTTGCTATAATTTTAAAAAGTCAAAAGTCAAATTGAGCTATATTTTTGATAACTACATAGCCATGTGTGTGTAGTTTTCTTGCCACAACACAGGAGGCGTTAGCCATTACCTCTTTCTGAAATGTCTTTTCAATATTGTAGAGATAGTCCTGGATTTTTCTCGTAGGCCCCCATCCAACTTCTGCCATCTGCTGCAAAAAAAATCCAAACATAAACACTGATGTTGAATTATATCTGGAAGAACCAGCCTGTACCCGTATTCACATATGAACAGCTGTAAGTAGAAATGTTAGGAGTCAAAACGCTAAAAAATTTACAATACAAATTTGTTTAATAACCATTCATGGAATGTTTACAGGAAAAGGAAGTATATATACTTCAGAAATAGATATCTGAGATGATGAGACACTATTTGAGAAATTTAAGGAATAACTCAACCTGGGAGATGCTTTAAAACATTAGTTTACTTAATTTTAAATTCAAGAACACATTAATAAAGCCATCCCCAAATATATACAGGTAGTCCTCAAAGTATGACCACAATTGAACCCAAAAATTATGTGGCAAATTTGTTAAGTGAGTTTTGCCCCATTTTATGACTTTTTTTGCCACATTTGTTAAGTAAATCACTGAAGTTGTTAAGTCAGTAACATGGTTGTTATGTAAATCTGGCTTCCCCATTGTCTTTGCTTGTCAAAAGGTCGCAAAAGGTGATTACAACCCCAGGATATAGCAACCGTCATAAATATGAACCAGCTGTCCAAGCATCCAAATGTAAATCACGTAACCATGGAGATGGTGCAACAGTCATAAGTGTGAAAAATGGCCATAAATCCCTTTTTTCAGTGCCATTGTAACTTTGAACGGTCACTAAACATACTGTTGTAAGTCAAGGACTACCTGTACCAGAGTCCTCTGAACAAAATCCTTCATCTTTCTATTATTCTGTGTGACTGCATTCTGTCCAGAACTGGTACACTATCATTGTTATAGTTTGCATTTGTATTATGGAATTGGACAGCCTATAACAGTGACGGCTAACCTTTTTGGCACAGAGTGCCGAAATTGGCATGCGTGCCGGAGCACTTGCGCAGACCAGATCTTCATGCACAGACCAGCTGGCCAGCGCGCATGCGCACGATGGAACCCAGAAGAGGAGTTGGTGATGGCACGCGTACCCACAGTGAGGGCTCTGCATGCCACCTCTAGCATGCGTGCCATAGGTTCACCATCACGGGCCTATAAATTAAACAGATAGACAAATTGATCCAGGCAATGAAACACACAAAAAAACAGAACCTAATTATCTCAGGAAAATGCTTTGTGCTAATGTATATTACATATGCTTTCATTCACATTATAGAATTTGTTTAGTGAGAGTTCGTTTTGATGCACAAATAGCGCTCTCCTTTCTGCTTATGGATTTTGCCCTGCGCTCTCTTATAAGCATACAGCATATGACTGTCATAACACCGAGCAGATGAATACTTTGTGATATCTCCCAAATATCTGACACCCCTAAAGCCAGGAATGTCCAACCTTGGCAATTTTAAGATTTGTGGACTTCAACTCCCAGGATTCCCCAGTCAGTCATGGAGAGGCTGGGAGCTGAAGTCCACAAATCGTAAAGTTGCCAAGATTGGAGAAAATGGGGCTTTGGTATGATCCAACATAATCCTTATGGGGTAAAATTGTGTTGATTTTCTAACTGTTAAATGTGGGTCAAGAATGAGGCAGGACTCCCAGCTCGATAACAACTTATTTATTTCAGACTTCTTCAGTAACAGAGAGAGACTGAGCTATTCAGCAGCTCCCTTTAAAGGGGAGCTGCCTGACAGCTCCGCCACTCTGCTTCCTTGAATTTCCCTCCAAATCGCGGGAGCCAATCAATTTAAACTTCTGGTCCTCCCACTATTTGGACGGACCAGAGGGAAATCTTAGCTTCAGGTTTCCCTCCTCATTTCCATATTTAACACTAACTCAGTGATGATAAACTGAGTTTGCATCTCAAATCCCTTTGTTTTTGTGGGACAATACGCACAACATCTGTAATAATAATAACTTTATTGTCATTGTATGTGTATACACAGTATACCCATACAATGAAATTCACTTAACACCCAAAGACCAGTCCAACACACATAACAATCCCCAAACACCGTCCCCCCACTCACCACAAATTTCCCACCCCTAAACCACCCAAACATCCACACAACAGACCAAGTTGTGTACTGACTCTTAATGGCACAGGACACGTTTTTTATTTCCTTAAAGTGACAGAGCAAGGCTAATCCTATTAATGAAGGAGGTTCAAACCTCCTGAATTCTCAGATTTGGTAATAATAGGTGAACTTCAAAGTACAACTTCGAAATGAAAAAGTACCCCTATGGACTGCTTATCTGAAGAAGACAGAACAGAAATCTTCCGTTTTAATCTCGTAATGTATTTAAAGGTGAATCACTGCTGCCTGTTGCTTGCTACCAAGTTCAAAAAGCTGCTCATCAGACTCCTAAAAAAACACACTTCCTGTCATTAATTGGCTCCTAATTAAACCAATGACCAGTCATTTGTTAAAGGGGTATTTTTCCAGCTCCATCCAGAGGTTTTTTCCTTTTCCTTTGAGATCAAGTTGGAAGAGATTGAACTGGGCATGCGGCATCTCCAATTGAGTTGGAAACCTGCAACACAAACTCTATAAATTCCAACAGAGGGAAGGGGTGGGGTGGGGAAGACAGAATCTACTGCAGAGTTTCAAGAAAATGTCTCAGATGTATAATAGCGAACCCTGAAACCAGAAATTATTTTGCAGGCACCGGTGCTGTTGCCATGGTTTCCGAGGCAATAACTCCAAGGTCATTTCCTGAAAATCCTTCACTCCTAATGTCAGCAGAGTGTTAGATTCGCTCTTTCCAATCCTCAATGGTGCTGGCCATTATCAAGGTTCAACTGCAACAGCCTTCCTAAAAAGCCCCAAGAGAAATATCCAAAGTATTTTCCAATAACTATCAGACAAAACACATAATGAGACTGGAATTTAATGATGCTGGCCTTCTCCTAAATTCAAAACCGCTCACAAAATCCCAAACAAAGTGTGATTTTCTTGGTGCCTAGCTGTGGCCTCAAGAAGTATCAGGTCACTGTCCTAGCCGGCAATTTGGATAGATAGTCCTCACACAATCTTAACAACCACAACTGAGCCCAAAATTTCTGTTGCTAAGCAAGTTGTTAAGTGAGCTTTGCCCCATTTTATAACCCTTCTTGCCACAGTTGTTAACTGAATCACTGCAGTTGTTAAGTTAGTAACACGGTTGCTAAATGAATCTGCCTTCCCAGGACACTGCAACTATCATAAATACATGCCAGTTGCCAAGCACCTAAATTTTGATTACATGATTATGTGGATGCTGTAACAGTCGTAAGCGTGAAAAACGATCATAAGTCCCCTTTTTCACTGTTGTAACTTTGAATGGTCACTAAACAAATTGTTGTAAGTCAAGGACTACTTGTACAACAAATAGTCAAGTTACTAAAAAAAAAGGAACCCAGTAAACTGGTTCTGAGATAAACTTTCTTCTTTCCTTCTCTCTTTCTGAAGATTGATAGTGACCAAAATGACCGCAGAGAGGGTGCAAATTTTCACTCCTTTCTCGCACTTTTTTGTAGCATTTTCTCCCATGAAGAACTCTGAAATCCTCAAAAGTTTACACACATTTTTGATCCATTTGGATAGGTGTTCCTAAAGGAAGGCAGCATCTAAGAATAGATGTTGGATTTCTGCTAGGAACCACCTAGCAAAATTGTGATTGCTTTATATTCAGTTGGATCATCACTCCGTCGCAAACTCCCCCTGAGACATATCCCTAGGAGAATAAAACAAATAAAATTGGCAAGATCTGTGTGAGTAAATGCCATCCCTTCAAGGCAGTGCAGGATTAATTCATGCAATTAAAGCATTCATTAGTACAACCCACTGGGAAAATTAGAATTAAAAAATCCACTGAAGAAGGTGCAACTGTAGGGAGCTGGCTTCCTCCCATCCCTGGCAGTGGAGTTTGGGAAGTCCCTTAAGACTAGGCCTCGGCCTTGCTGGAGGTGAGTAGCTACAATTTTATTTATTAGTCCGTAATTCAATATTTTGCTTCAGTGATTCATAAGACTCAGGCCTGGATGCTTCATATAAAGAGTTGAGAGCTGTTTTCAAGTAAGTACTTTGAATTAGACATTTTAATGTTTTTCGCACAATGTTTTAATGCTTTTTTTACTATTTTTATTGTTTTAATATATGTTGTGAATTGAGAGCTGCCAAGAATCATTTGCTGAGATGGGCAAGAGGAAGGCAGGCAGGCAGGCAGGCAGGCAGGCAGGAAGGAAGGGTGTCAATGCCATGAAGTTATTTAAATGGTGAATTGCAAGCTCTGTAAGCTCAGAGGAGTCCACTGGGGTCAAAAAAGTCACAATGTCAACCACAGCTATGTGATTATTGCCTCATCCCTTTTCTCCATGCTTAGTGAGGCCTGTAAAAGCAGGAATAGCAGGAATAGCCTTTATTACAGTAAAATAGAAAAGCGGAAGTTGAAATCCTGTCCAGTTTCCTCACTGGCTGAATAAAATCAATTTTGTTCTATCTGCCCTTACTTCCATCTCAGGACTGTTGAAGCTCTGTCCCAAATCCCCTTAAGGCAGGGGCAGGCAACTATTGTTCCTTTACAATTTGTGGACTTCAAGTCCCAGAATTCCTGAGCTAATCATGCTGGGTCAGGAATTCTGGAAGTTGAAGTCTACAGGTTGTAAAGAGCCTTTGTTGCTCATCCCTGCCTTAAAAACTTGCTCCTTCAGGCCTACTTTAAAGGGTAACAGTAACAGAGTTGGAAGGGACCTTGAAGGTCATCTAGTCCAACCCCCTGCTCACGCAGGAGACCTATACAGGGATTCGAACCTCCAAACTGCTGACCTTTCTGATCGACAAGCTCAGTGTCTTAGCCACTGAGCCACCACTTATATCTTCCCAAGATCAGCTCTAGATTCCTTTATAGAAGCAAAATAGTTTCTTTCTGGAACAAGTCAAGAAGCGCATTGTCTTATTTAGGTAAATAGATAATTTGTAGTGCGGATGCAGATTATCAGTCTGGATTCAGATCCGATCAGTTTCCCTTGCTGGCTTTATCGCTTTCTTATTCATCCAAATGGTGTTGATATCTGAAGCAAGGACTTCAACAGATCTTTATATTCATTTGATTTTTCAGTGGTGTTCCACTTGGGACCAAGATCATTTTGTAATCTATCTCTCCATCTTGGAGGAGATGGTCCAAATGGGTATGTGACAAAGTGCATTGCCCAGACCTGGTAATGTGATGGATACAGCATTGATCACACTGGAATTCATTCATTTATTTAATTACTTTTAATATTCTACAAGTGAAGGAAAACAAAAATGCAAGATAACAACCCAGAAAATTCAGTCTTAGATTCTAAATGTTAAACTAAACTGTATATACACATACAATTTACACTAAATTAATGAAATCCATTGTTTAGTTGGGTCTCCTAATGTGAAGGCAATAATGTGTCCCAAATCTGCTCACTAATAATATTTTTAAAATGAACTCCCATTCTCCTTGTTTCTGAGATCTATATATGATCTTTCTATTCTTAGTTTTTTCGTGTTGAAACCATGAAGTACAATTTTTGTTTGTCAAAGTGTTAAATTATTAATATTTTCTCTGGCACTTCTGTTGGAAGAGTTTAAAATTAAAAAGAAATTGTTTTAGCTGCTACAGTTCAACCCATGTTATTTCTTGTCCCAGATTTTTATTTCTTTTTATTTCCTTTTCATCTTGGGATAAAATCATTATTAAACAGTTTGTTTTAGCTTTCAGTGCTATGAATTCCTAGATATCTATGGAGATTTTCAGTCATCCAGGTCATGGTTGTCCCAAAGGTGCTTTTCTAAAAGGCAACTGGATTTTCTTCGATTTTTCCTTGAAAACGTTTTGCCTCTCTGTTGTGACCTAGGCTTCCTGAGTCATTAAAACACATGACTAGTCCCAAAAACCTCTTTTATTGCAACAGCTGTGAATTACGTTCATTCACAGCTGAGTCCCAATTAGTCCTTCAGGAGAAGTCCTTCAGGA